CGTCTTCTGTGACATCCACTGCTTACATCCACTTCTGGACTCATGCCAACACTCCAACATACTAGATGCTATGCAGAGTGTTGAGATCTCAGGCTGCATTCATTTTTGCTCAGTGGGCTAGCCAATGGAGGGTGATCCACTAACTTCGTCGTCTCGCTCTGCCCTTTTCTCCAAGGTTCTTGTTTTATATGTAAGTGAATATTTCTGTGCAGTGGCATATCAATTTATAAAGTAAGGCTAATTAAAACTGAGAATGAAAGTATAAAGGTACATATAGTTACATATATGGGGGCTTCAAAAGTTCATAGAAAAATGGAATGAAAGCATAATGTAATATTCCACAAACTTGTTGAAGTCCTTGGTATTTCTTAAATTCCCTGGCAATGGTTGTTGTTGTTGTTGTGAAGTGCCGTTGAGTTGGTTCCAACCCATAGTGATCCTGTATAGGGTTTCCTAGGAGTGGCTGGTGAACTTGAACCACCAACCTTGCAGATCAAAAGGCTTTGCAGTGTGGTGAATTAACCCACAGCACCACACCAGGACTCCTGGCAATGGTTGTTGTTGTGAAGTGCCATTGAGTCAGTTCTGACCCATAGTGACCCTGTATAGGGTTTCCAAGGACCTGCTGGTGAGATTGAACTGCCGACCTTGCAGTTCCAATGGTTTTGCAGTCTGGCACGTTAACACACAGTGCCACACCAGGACTCCATCCTGGCAATGGTAAGCATTCTTTTTTAATCCATAATCCAATGAATGGGTTTTTATTTTTATAAAATATCAAGTAAACTGGTTAACAATAATAGTTACAGAAGGCTTACTTGGATCTCTGGTATGTGATGTTATCTCTTGGGAGATATTAATTGTATAAACTTTTCCATCTCAGTGCAAATCAAGCCCATTTCTTTTTCACCTAGAAGAGATACTTGATCACTTTGGGGATTGGCTCATTTTGTTTCCCTTCAGCAATGGCCAAGTTGATGTAGCCTGAAGGGTTTACAAAGGTGCCTGCCAACCCAGAAAGAACACAGACTGTGAAATTTGCTTCTAAAAATAAAGACCAGTATAGTCTAAAGACATGTTTAGTTAATGACAACTCTCTTTGCCTCAATTCAGAAGAGTGATCATTTTCTCACAAATACTGTGGAGATAGTAAAACACCAGCTCATTTAGCAGAACCTCACAGCATTATTTAATTTCTAATCACAGCTTTTTGTTACTGGAATCTTTGATACTTACCATCATTATTCATATTCACCATTGCAGAACTATATACTGAAAATCATGGATATAAAGAAAACATGGAACACTTTCCAGGCAGCATCAAGAGACCAATGGCAGCAATGCTGCAAGACTTAATACAGGAGAAAATCCTACCACTAGAAGCACAAGTATGGGCTGGAATTGCCAACTGCCAACACTAAGACTGACCCTTACTGCATACACATAGTTCATGTGATAGGAGGCAATAAGATGTTCCAAGGACCGTCAGTGTATTTGCAATGCCTCCAATAAGAAGCCGGTTTGCACCAAGACGTTGGTGCCTAACTGCCTCATGCTCACTTCCGGAGTTGTCTCAGCGCTGGTACCTGTCCACAATGCACTGCTCCCAGCTCACAAAAAAAGAGGTTAAACTGACATACGAGGTGGAAAAGGTTTTAAATTAAAATCAATAAAAAATTAGAAAGAAAAAAAGATGATGAAAGGAAAAGGAATGCAAACAGCAGGATTCTGGAGGAAGAGGTCTAACAGGCAAGTTTCTTCCACGCATAGCTCGGAGTCCAGGCTAATGTGGACCAGCAGAGGGTTGTGTGCTAGAGGACAAGAAGCTAGAGTTCTATCTGAGGATGATCAGACTTTTAAAGACAAATGCATCCTCCTCCTTCCACCTAAGGAGCCGGGGAGAGTAGTGAATTATAAGCTGATTGCTAACAGTAAGCTCAGTCTTTCAGAAACACCAGTCACTCTGCAGAAGAAAGATGAGGCTTTCTGCTCCCACAAGGAGTTACATCCCCGAAAACCCTATATAGGGCCGCTATGAGTCGGAACTGACTCCACAGCACGTCTCCACCTCCACCTCTCATCTTAGTACAAGCATTAAAGGTACTTAGTCTAAAAAAACAGCATACAACAAAATGAAGAACACATTTCCTCTAAAAATTATTCTGTCAAAAAGAGAGTTTTGCTTTACAGTCCAAATTTTATAATTATTCTCATATGTCAAGTTACTTCAATATTCATTTTTTTTAATGGTTAAACAACTCTGGGGAAAACCCATTGGCCTCAAACAACCTGCATGGATATTAGTTGTATTCATTTTGAGAGCTTTACAAAGGTCACCTGAAAAGATTACTAAAGTAAAGGTAAATAACTCTTTCTCTGTATGGATGTAGTTATAAACACACCTATAAAATACTTTAAATCACTATAATATTAATTATTGCAGATCATGAAACGGATATCCACAGAAGGAATCTTCTAAAATCTTTCCAAAGCCATACATGAGTTTTGAGGGCTTGAAAGAACATTTCCTGAACAACAACAATCAGAGATTTAAAAAGTGCTGCAGCTACTTAAAGCCACCGGGTCCATTCTACCCCACAGTGGTCCTACAGGACTGGTTACAAAGGCCCCACAGAGCTCCAAAGGCTATGAGGCTGGACAAAGTGGACAGCTGCATCTGTTTCTTACAAAGCAGCTGGTAGGTTTGAACTGCCAACCTTTGGTTAACTGTCAAATATTTAACCACTATTAAGTTAACCATGACCAGGGCTCCTTTCACAACTGAATTGTTGTTGTTTCTGTTAAGTTGTTAAGTGCCATCGAGTCGATTCTGAGTCATAGCGAACCTGTACAGAGTTTCCAAGGTGTGGGTGGTGAGTGTGAGTTTGCTCCAGCTACACTGTGGTCCAAACAGACCTTGTGGTCCAGTGTTTTATCTCCCAGCACCACATCAGGACTCCTCACAACGGAATTCTTAGATGGAAATTAAAAGATGTGTTCTGGAAACCTCTATTGTTAATTGTCAATGTGTTTTAGTGATGGCATGACCATTAATGTCAAAGGATCATGTGAATGATGAACAAAGGGTCTTCATAAATTGAACGTAAAAAGAAGTGAATATTCCTAAGTTAATATGAAACTATAAACATTTGCAAATGAATTAACGAACATTAAAAATGATGATTTAAGCATTTCATCTATAGTTCTAAGTATATTTCAGGCTGGCCCAAGACATTTCTGGATTACGGGGAGAGGGGACTTTGTTGTTATTATTATTAAGTGCCATTGAATCAGTTCCACCTCATAGTGACTCTATATAGGGTTTCCAAGGACCTGCTGGTGGGTTTGAACAGCCAACCTTGTGGTTAGCAGTCTGGTGCTTATCTACATCAGGACTTACTGAGTATAAATTTCTATTTAACTACCATATTTTTAGGCAAATAACACATGCCCTCTACATTTATTTGGCAACTGCTTTGCTTCTCCCTATCATGAAGTATCTTTATAAGCACCTCTATGCCATTTGTTTTACATGTTGCTGTAAAAAAAAATTAGCACAGGCTGTTTACAAAAACATTTCCCAGGGGGAAGGGCACAGCTAGTAAACAAATATAGAGAGGGTGTGCTTTTTGTGAAAAAATACAGTAAGTTTATATTCTCCATAAATTTTGTGATATGAAGTACTGAAATTCTCTCTTCCAAAGGCTGAGTTTACTTATGTTGTTCAGTGCTATCGAGTTGGTTCCAACTCATAGCAACCCTGTATAGGGTTTCTGAGGAGCAGCTGGTGAGCTTGAACCGCCAACCTTGCAGTTCAAACGTCTTTGCAGTCTAGCACATTAACCCACAGAGCCACACTAGGACTCCATTACTTACTTAGTGGTTGTATAAATATGGTATGAACAGCTTTGTGTGGAAGGAACAAAAAAATCAGTCCACATGCTAAAAATGTAAGATATAGACATGCTAATAATTTATCAATAGCTGTAACTGTGCTGTGCAATGACGTTTTTTTAAATTCGCTGATCTACTTGGTAAACGGAAGCTGTGATGTAGGCTTCTAAATTGTTAGCATGAAAGGACAATTTGTCAATGAGTGTAGAGAACCCATTGTCTGGATTACTGCAATGTCTGGATTACTCTACATTTCTGCCGTCACGTTAGTTCTGACTCATAACGACCTTGTATAGAGATTCTGAGGCATGGCTGGTGGCTCTGAACTCTGGTAGTGTAGTGGTTACGAGTCGGCTGTGAACCTCAAGGTAGCAGTTGGAAACTATCAGCCATTCTGCAGAAGAAAGATGAGGCTTTCCGCTCCCGTAAAGATTTACAGCCTCAGAAACCCTGTGCAGGGTGGCTATGAGTTGGAACCAACTCCATGGCACACAACCACCACCACCCTGTTGTTGTTAAGTGCCGTCGAGTTGGTTCCCACTCACAGCGACTCATTCCGACTCATAGGGTAAATGAACATAAAGGATGTCTGTTCTAGTCTCTATCTAAACGTGCAAGTAGTGAAAGCCCCAAAAGGAAGCATCAGGCAGTGTCTCAGGGAGGGATAGCCACATCTGCTTTGTGCCCAGATTGCGAATCATAAGCTGTGTCCTGTAAACATTAAAGCACACGTATCAGAGGATACTGCAGGGGAATAAAGGTATGACATCCAGTCTTTAGAAACACTGAGAACAAAGCAGCGTTCTCAGAAAATGAACATGAATTACTGACAAAAACAGTCCACAAGTGTCTCTGACATTCAGATCAACTAGTTGACTATCTAACCATAGTAAAGTGATTGGAACAAATAGTCTTGTAAAATAAGTTTTCATTATGTGAAGAAAATGCTCAAGTTGGGTTTTTTCCCCTATGACTCTATTTGAAAGAGCATCATTGCTGTATGCATCCTTCTACTTACTAAAAGAGTTTCCCTGAGATAATCCCAAAGGCAAATATACTTAGAAATGAAAAAACATCATGAATTTAAGAGTGAAAACATTTGGTACCTGAGAAATCTGCTGCTAAGAGATCTACTGCCTTTAAAACTTTCACTTGTAACAGGCCGATGTCCTTCATGTCTGTCAGGGAGTTCTGTAAGCACTGAGGGAAGAGGAAAGGAGACCAAAAATGAAAATCACTTCCTAATACACCAATTACTGCCAGAAAGGGCTGCAGGAAGTACAGTCTAGATTTATGTTCACCTTTCCCATTAAGTTCTTAGAAAAGCTCCAAAAATACATTATGTCAGTTAAGAGGACAATGAGACATTCAGCCTGATTAAGACAAAAGTGGCTGAGAGTTAATTAACTACAACGTCAAAATAAATTACAAGTACGTACAATCTACTTTTAACGTCGTCCCCTGGGCAAAGTGTGTGGAACTATATCCATTACTTCTTTTCCCTTCTTTCTCATAACTGAGACTTTCTTAAATCATCCTAAAAGGAGACATTATTCTAACCCACTTAGTACACATTTGATAAATACCAGACAGCTAAACTTAGAGCTTTCTTAGTAGTTTTTGTTGTTAGGCGCTGTCAAGCGGTTTAAGACTCACAGTGACCCAATTCAAAATGGAACAAAATGCTGCTGGTTCCTACACCATCCTAACAGTAGTTGTTACTCTTGAGCCACTGCTGCCCCTGAGCCAACCCATCTTGGTGGGGATAAGGATGGGAAGAGAGTGAATTATCTGATCTACTCTGCATGCAGTTCATTAAATAAGGGATTGAGTCATCTATATCACCGCATTTTTATACTGCTTTTTCCCTCTAGCTTGAATATTTTTACTGAATATTCATTTTTATGAAATATTTTATTGTGTTTCAAGTGACAGTTTCCCATTTAACAATGTTTATACTAATCGTTCCATGCCATTGGTTACAATAGCTACAATGTGCGTCAATCTTAGGATTTCATTTTGTTTTGTTTCCGTTTATTTCCCTTTCCTTCTCTTCCTTGCCTTCTCATTTGTGCCTTTGGTTAATGCCAACATTCTACCACGTGGTGTCATGGAATTCATTGTTTAAGGGAGCACATTATTTATGATGTGATGTTTATTTTATAAACCAACATATTAATTTGGCTGAGATTTGCAGAAATAGATTCAATTTCAAATCCAAAAGGTATTTAAGGTGATATTTTCTAGTGTTCTTTTAGTCTCTATTGGTCCAGCAAGCTTGGCCTTTTTCAAGAATTAGAGCTTTGTTCTACAATGTTCTCCCTGGCTCCATCCAGAACCTTCTTTTTGTCAAACTGGCCCACATTTAGTGTTTCTTGCTCAGGTTGGAAGAGGTTGTGGTTCATGTAAGCTATCAGTGTCATGGACTAGTTTCCTCTTTGAGACTTTGATTTCCTAATTCTCTTTCATTTCACATGAATAACTGAGAGTTGTATTTTTGATGTCTGCTCCTACAAGCGTTTAAGATCCCAGACACTACTAACCAAACCAGGATGCAGAACGTTATCTGTGTGAATTATATTATGACTAAGTTGTTAGGAGGAAACAGTCACTGGAGAAGGATGTCATGCTGGGCAAGATGGAAGGTCAGAGAAAGAGAGGAAGACCCCCAACGAGATGGATCGGCCAGGTGGATTCATTGATGGTGTCAAGTGTGGCAGCGGTAGTGAGGTTGGCCCAGGATCAGACATTGTTTCGTTCTGCTGTGCGTGGGATCACTTTGAGTGGGTTCTGACTCGATGGCACCTGACAACAACGACAAAGTTGTCCCCAGAGACTATGGTCCCATCCCTTTAACCCAGTAAACCAATTCTTCGAGTTGTTTAGCTATGTCTTGTTGTTGTTAAGTACTGTGGAGACAGTTCCAACTCATAGTGACCCTGTACGGGGTTTCAGAGGCTGTAAATCTTTATGGGAGCAGAAAGCCTCGTCTTTCTCCCAAGGAACGCCTGGTAGCTTCAAACTGCTGACCTTGAGGTTAGCAGCCTGATTCATAACCACTACACTACCAGAGCTCCTTAGGAAGCTTTTATACTTGTGCATCTATGTGGCTTGCATTTTATGTGAATAGTTATATGTGTATTACACACAAATGTGCATATAAGCATATTCCTACAGATACACCTGTGTACACACACACACAGATTCATTTAGATATCCCTTCCTATACACATTTATAAGGAGCTCTGGTAGCGTAGTGGTTACGAATTGGGCTGGGAACCGCGAGGTCAGCAGTTCGAAACTACCAGCGGTTCCATGGAAGAAAGATGAGGCGTTCTGCTCCCGTAAAGATTTACAGCCTCAGAAACCCTGTACAGGGTCGCTATGAGTCAAAACCGACTCCATGGCACTTAACAACAACAACAACATACACATTTATAGGAGTCCTTGTGTGGCGCTGTGGGTTAATGTGCCAGACTGCAAAGCCATTTGAATTACAAGGTTGGCAGTTCAAGCTCACCAGTTGCTCCTCAGAAACCCTATACAGGGTCACAATGGGTCAGAATGGACTCGACAGCACTTCACCACAACAATACACATTTATAGGGAGTGAGGTGGCTCTGTAAGATAAACACTGGACTGGCTTTCTGCTCCCACAAAGATTTACAGTCTTGGAAACCCTTTACAGGATTGGCATGAGTCGGAAATGACTCAACAGCACTTAACAACAACAACAACAATATATGCATCCACATCTACCTACGTAACCACCTACGTATTGTTTGGTTGTTTTTACTGTTACTGCTTACTCTACGTTAAAGCATTGACTGAGATTGTGCCCTTTTCTTGTACACTTGTAGTGTCTTTATTTACTTTGGTCAAGTTGTGTTGACTTCACCCAAATTTGGGATTGCCTTTCCCATAACCAGAAGCAACAAATGTCTGTTATTTAGAAAGTGATTCGCCCGTCTTTTCCCTCCCATTCCTATTGATGATCAAAGATCTTTGCTTTCTCTGTGTAGATCTACTCTAATTTTTATGATAGTGGGACTATATAATATTTGTCTTTTTGTGATTGACTTATTTCACTCAGTATAATGTCCTCCAGACTCTTGCATTGGAGACACCTCATTATTTTTAATAGTCACATAACACTCCATTGAATGTCAAAGCAGACACTATAACGTAATACTTATCATGAATTTGGTATGTTTGTATTTATCCAGGGTAAAGTCTGGGGGGAAATTGGACTTTTCTTTATGAAATAGTAGCTTAACTAATGTCTTCAGAGAGAATATTAATGGTGAATTTTGTTAAGGTTCATTTAGAGTACACCAATATTGCATACAGAATTTGTGGTGATGAGATGTGTGGCTATGTTTGGTACCCACACAGATCAAGGGTGATTCAATTAATCAATACATCTGCACAGAGAAGGGGTCCAAAGGCACTGATGTTTATGTTAAGAATGATATTCCCACTGAACAGGAACTCATCTTTGCCTAGTTTTCATGGCAATTTCTTAAACCGTGCCTTTCATGGGTGGCGATAAAACAAAAGTATTCAGTTACAACGAAGGTAGGATAAGCACAGAATGCGAATAAAAGTATCTACAAAGCCAGAATAGAAACATGGATAAGATGTCCACTATTCAATTTTGAGATGCTGAGTGGATTGAGCTCAATGCATCCACTTAGGAGAATATCCGACACTGTCATTCAATTCAGGGCAAAATGCACTACCCTGTAAGTCTGGGCAGTGCTCTGCTTTACAAGAACAAGTGCTTTCTCACTTGACCCTAAAAGGTTCTGTAAAGGTGTCTAATAACCGTTTCAGCATTAGTAGTTGGTAAAAACAAAACAAATCAAAGTTACTTATATGAGCCTCTATTAACATGGCTAGCCACTATGTTGACATGCCAAAAAATAATTTGCTTCCTTGAGGATTTCCATTTTTTCCAAAGCTAAAATTTCAAAATGCCTTTTCACTTTTAAAAACACCAAGTAAATTCTAATCAAATTTCAGCCTCTCACTAATGCATTACCCTCCAGGTCTGATGTCTTGTTTTATGAGTCATACTATTGAACATTGCACAAAGATCTCTTTATATGAAGTTTCTAGGTTGATAGACTTTGTTTCAACTTAAAAAGGTTAGTAGTGGGAGGGGAGGAACCAGGAAAAGCACTCACATATCTCTGGGAAATCTGCTTTCTCTCACTGGGGTCTGCCAAGGGGCAGACACATAGATCAGAGACGGAGATCCCCGCACAGGGTGTCAGGGTGACCAGCATAAGGAGAGACCCCACACAGCTCTCCAGTGGCAACTTGAGACAATTGGCTTGCTTGACCGGGAGTGCTGCAATATCCACTTTACACCTAGAATATTTTCATGAATCAGAGAGAGAAAAGTGATTAACTCAAGGCCACTTCGGAACTGCTTAAACACCAGCTTTCTTATTTCATCCCTCCAGAAACCTCATTCTGTCTGACTTGGGTTTATTGCCAAGGGTTCCAACAAGGCAGTGAAGGTTGCAGGTGTCCCTTACCCTCCCCCGGCTCATAAGACTAATTCCCAACCTAACACGCTCTAAAATTAAGGGAAGAGAGGTAAAGAAAGCAAAAGTGAAGTCAGCATCAAGGGACAGCAACCAAAAAGAGAATGCAGGGTCTCTGCCAAATAAGACTGCAGAAAGATGATGGGATCAGGAACGGCGAGGGAAACGAAGTTCAAACTGGACGCTCATGTTCTCTGTAGCTTATCCACGCTGTGACTTTTATGAGCCAGGAGAAAAAAAGGATCAAGGTTCAAAAAAGAAGGCAAAAAAAAAAAAAAAAAAAAATCACAAGAATTGCAAGAAAGAGAGGACTAAGGGAGAAACCATTTTCTTCCCAATTAATGCCAAAGGGCCAGTTTTTATTTAAAGCAACGTGTTAAGGTGTTTTCCTAATAGGCCCAGTTCCTCAGGCTTCCCCCAGGTGGGTTTCTCTGGGACAAATGGAGCATGAAGTGCTGTTGATGGATCCCATTTCTGTGGCACCTCCACTACCCATGTGCAATCAATTGCATGTTTTCTGTCTCTAACAGCCAGTGTTCTGGGGATGTCGAAAACCTCAAACACATTTAAATACAGAAGCAAACAGCTCAGAAGGGAGCACAGGTGCTAAGCCATTTATTTGCTTTAACACTGAAAACTCTGGTTTTGCCTGGGCCACCCCTGCTTTATTTTTGTACGGTGATGAGGTAGAAGGGACCCAGTGGAGCAGGCAGAAGGCAGGCAATGTTGGGTTTTGTTTTTTTACTAATTATATTCTTATCTGTCTTCCAGAATCACTGGATATTATGAACTGACCTGAAGGCAATGAGTTTGTGTTTTCTTAATACTAAGACTTGAGAACAATGCCTCTCACAACACTGACACATTTGGATTCTTATGCTAAATTCTTGAAGGACTTTGCATGACTGCAGATGGCTACAAGGAGAAAAAGTAACACATGACAGAAAGCAGTGAACACATAGGTAAACATTTCCTTCTGAAACCTTGTGAGCCCCTTCCCGAGTTAAAAGAGAAATAAATAAATGGCATTAAATATCTATACCAACTTTTTCTACAGAATCAAAAACATTTGTAAATGCTGATCTGTGCGTATAAAATTAAATACGTCTGAGCAGTTATCAATGCCCTAATTGCCAAATGTTAATTTCCAGCTGCAGGGCAAATGAAGATTAAAGTTTTGCTTGTCTAAATGAAGATTTAGACTGGAGACAGACTGCAAAAAGACATAACTTATGAAAGAATTCTCTATGATTTGAATGGAAAAAATGTTCTTTCTAAAGTTAAAGTTTACTACTGCCTATAAAAAGAGAAGCTTCCTAATGTTTTTACTTCAGTAAGTATGTAAGTGGGGGAATAAATTTGCCTGCAGAAAATGCCAAGTGGGTTAACTATGCTACGTCTACAAAATTAAGTGTGAGCATATTGTTATCTAATATTGCAGTAGTATATCTTCTCAGGAATACTTCGCTAAACAGTGTTTTCAACTGCTATATCTGCTTTCATTTAGCAAAGTTACTTCTTGTCAAAGGATGAGTGATTCAAATTAGAAAGAATTTTCTCTGATGGTCACTTCAGTTAATCCAAATCAGTAATAAACTATTAATAGCACGTACTTTTTAAGGTCATTAATAATGGCACCATATTGTTTTACTTTAAGTGTTTACCATTTCATTATGGTGGTAGTTTTGTGTTTTTTGAATAGCCATAAGGTATTTATATACAAGAACTCTAAAAACTAATAATGTTTAGGTACAATGCATAATTACGTAGTCATAAAGTTTTTCATGGAGAATTCAAAGTGAACCTGACATTAACTCTTAAAAGTTGCCTGGAAAGGTTCTGAGGAATATTAGTGTATTTAAAATAACTAAAAAATTTCATGGTAACTGTCTAAAGGTACGACTTACAGGAACAGAGCAGTTTATTATTTTAAATATAAATGAGTCACGTACCAGACAAAATGCAAAGTAAACATTGGGATTCTTTTCAGAAATGAAACATTTCCACAAACTTTTCAGTCATTTCTGCTCACTGTGAAACTTCTGTACTCATCTCATATTAGAAAACTCGTTGTTGTTGTTGTTGTTAAGTGTTAGTTCCAACTCACAGCGACCCTGAAGAGGGTTTCCAAGGAGCAGCTGGTGGGTTTGAATTGCTGACCTTGGAGTTAACAGTCTAGTGCTTCTTAGAAGACTTATATAACTAGAATAGAATATTTGTGTTCTATTCTCGCCCTGCCTGTTTTAGATATCCTTACATCCATGGTGATGCCAACAGTTCAGTGATTACTGGTCCAAGAACTGGGAGTTCAAAATTCACCCAGAGGTTCCTCAGAAAAGTCTCAACTTTGACAGCAGCTTTAAAAAAAACACAATAGTAGTAGTAGTATTCCAGATATTAAAAACCTCATCAACCACAGGTACCAACATAATGGACTCTACATTCTCATAAAACCACTTAGTGAATTCATCCATATATTCACCCTGACTTTCTTAATGAAATGAAATGTGCATAGGGGCATGTCAATAAAAACTAACCTTAGCCCTCTGACCCTTGGCCTATGACCCATGCATTGAAGAGCTCTTGCTGCACCATGTGAACTGGTTTCTCAAGCCTTAAGGAATAATTTAAAGTTACCCCTGCCCTAGGTTTAACACTCAGCTCCCCTAAAAAGAGCACTTTATATAAACTTTCTATAAAGGAACTGCTCTCTGCATCTCTTCAAGCCTACTCCTGGCTTCCCCATTTATTCCCACATTCTGGAAACAAGGAGAAAAGATGGGGAAAAGGAAAAAAACAACAACACGTATCTCATAGAGCATCCTCTTCCATCAAGCCTCACGTTTTACCCAATTTCAACCTCAGTCCACATCATTTCAGTGCGTCCTAAGTTTTCAAAGGAGAACCAGAAACTCTACAGAATGGAGGATTATTTGCATTAACCCAAAGCTAGAAAGAGTGATGCCTTGCCAGTCAAAGAAGCACTAGAGACTACACTTTAAAAGAGCTTTTCTGCTGACATTTCAGGTACTTGGACCTCATTAAACCTTCATAAAGAGAGTAAGGGAAAGTGCACGTAGTTTTAGCCAAAATCAAATAAATAAAATATTTTTTGTGACTTTTTTTTAAAAGGCTAAAGTAAAATAAATCGGTAAAAATAAAACAATCTTTAAGATGTAAGTTCTGAAATACATTGATCAAAGGCAATTTTAATATAAAAATATTGATAAGAGAATAATCTAGGATTTTTTTTTTTCCATTTTCCATCACTGTAGCTGAGTCTATGTAGAAATATGAAATAAAATTCAATTGGTATCTTAATTCTTTCTAGTTGCTACTGAAGAATGCTAAAATCTGTGGCTCTTTTTCAAGACTTGCTCCCATCTGTTCAGATACCTGCTATGGGCTGGACACAGGGTCAGCCCCAGACAAATCAAAATACCATTGCCCAAAACACAACTCACTTATTGTTCAATTCCATAATTTCACAGATGTTGTTAAATATCTTCTGTTTTCCCTTTCTACTTTCTTTTCATTTGCACCCCCTAAATGTTCTCCTAAGCCCCTCTACTAATGACAGCCTTTAACGAACATTTATAAAATGTTGCCCTGTTAGTGTGGATGCAAATTTTCTTTAAAAAGGAAGCTCAGTGTTAGGACACATAGTTTAAAAGGCTATCATAATGTTTTTGGGTTTTTGTTTTGGTTTGCTTTTTAGCATGAAAAGTAACACTAACATTAATAGATAATATTATCTATCCCTCTTTTTCTGTCGAGGGTCAGAGAGTCAATGTTTTCAGTTTGTGGGATATTTAGTCTGTCAAAACTAACTCAACTCTGCCAATGTAGCATCAAAGTAGTAAGGAACCCTGAAAACAAATTAAGAAGGCATTGTTCCATTAAAGCTTTATTTATATAAACAGGGAAACAGCCAACTTGATTTGGCTCCAGGGTCCTATTTTTCAATTCCTGACCTAGAGAAATGCTAATAATTTCACTGTGGTGAATTATACCAATGGAAGTATTTAAAAAAAAAAAAAAAAAAAAAAGAATAATCTTTTTAAATAACTTTTAATTTACCATCACCCAAGAAACACTTGGCTATGTACATATATATAAAACCATCTGTTTGTTAATACAAATGAATAAAGCAGTAACATTTTAAATATTGTTCTTCTATCTGATAGAAAATCTGTGACAAACACAGCACACATAAAAGAAACATGGTAAATGAGTATTAGCCATAAAGTTTCTGTGGTGCTGTGGGTCAATTTCAACCTCAAGGATGGCGGTTCAAGTTCACCAGATGCTCCTCAGAAACCCTATACTGGGTTGTTATGAGTCGAACCGACTCAATGGCAATTAACAACATAGCCCTGGTATCGTAATGAATGATGAGCTGGACTGCTATCCAAAAGGTCAACAGCTTGAATCTATTAGTTGCTGCGTGTGAGAAAGATGAGGCTTTCTGTACCCATAAAGATTTATAGCCTAGGAAACCCTATACAGGGTCATTATGAGTCAAAACCAACTTGGTGACATACAACCACCACCACCAATTCTCTTGGCAGGAGTTTGGTGGAGGATAAGCACTGGACTGCAAGCCACAAACTTGGCTCTTCAAACCCACCAGTCACTCTGCGGAAACCCTATACAGAGTTGCTATGGGTCGGAACTGACTCAACAGTACTTACCAACAACAACAACAAGGGGATGTTGTTGTTGCTGTTAGGTGCCTCTGAGTCAGTTCCGACCCATAGCAATTCTGTATAGGAGTTTCCGAGGAGCAGCTGGTGAGCTTGAACCACCGACCTTGCAGTTCAAATGGCTTTGCAGTCTGGCACATTTGCCCACAGCGCGGCACCAGGACTCCCAGCATCCCCTGGGCACATGCTAAATAAAGATGTTTACTCTCTCTTTCACTCAGAAGATACCATACGTGTACCTTTAGGAGACCAGGACTTTCCCATTCCAAGGATGGGTCTTGGAATATTCATTCAACAGGAGCTCCACTGTGATAACAAAATTCATAAAACGGAAATGAATACAATCAGGCCTGTGTTTGTGCCAAGAGGAACTGCCACTTGGTCATTTGCATGATATAGAATCTAATGGAAGAAATGGCTTTGTGACCTCACCCTACCCTTCTCTCACACCCTATAGTGGTGGTGATCTGCCTGGGAGTGGAGTCTGACTCTTAGTGACCCTCTCTAAGATTTCAAAAGCCTCTTGTTTCTCCTACAGAGCACCTGGTGGACTTAACTACTAGACTTGCAGCTAACAGCAGAACGTGTGACCCACTGCAATACCAGGGATCCTAGCTTTATCTCTTAACAGTGCCCACCTTTAATACTCCTTTGAGCTGGTCTCCCTGCCTCTGGGCCTTTGCTCATGCTGAGTTACCTTCCTAGAAAACTTTTTCTCCAGTCACCTTGTCTGGCTAACTACCCCTCATTTTCCAGGCCTGTCTTGATGTCTGTCCTTGTAGGAAGCCGTCCTACCACCATGAACCCCAGGCTGCCCTCCATAGTGCCACCATCTACAACGCTTGTGCCCCATGATCATGTTGCTTCCTGCTAAGGTGTAGCGTCCCAGACATTATTAGTGACCCCTGGATGGGAGATATATTTGTGCTTTTGCCACTGAATCCTCAGTACTGGGCAAATTGCCTGACACACATGCTGAATACAATGAGGAAAATGAAACAGTTGCCATCCTAGCAACCCCAGGTGCGTCAGAGTAGAACCTGCTCCACAGAGTTTTCAGTGATTGATTTTTTGGAAACAGATCACCAAGCCTTTCTTACAAGGTACCTCTGAGTGGAATCAAACCTCTAAACTTTCCATTTACACCATCCAGAGACTTGGGGTGAAATGAATGAATAAGTGAATGCAAGTAGCAGGATGAAAATTGGATAGAGAACGTGAAAAACAAAACACTAAATTCTAAAGTCAGTGCTTTGGGTCAACCCACTAAACCTTTCATAGTCTCCATTCCGGCACTATTACCTCATCCAACCTTCCAAGAGATTGCCAGGACTTTCCTACAACCCACTATGGAAGAAATAAATGGAAGCAAATGCATTTATGAGGTGCTTGCTGATTTGAAAACCCCATGTTTCTACTTATCTGAAGAAAACAGGGGCTTAGTTACATTGTTTTCTGCCGTGGACAGACAGTAAAACCATCTTCTTTGGCCCACAGGCAGCTCGTGTGCTGACTTAGCATTGTTTCTGACCTCTCGTTCCCTTCTGTTTCCATTAATCCCATTGCGTTTTAATGTTTTAATTCAACACATAATTCTACCGTATCAGTCAGCCAAACCTGCTCAAGTTTTACTCGCCGTGATAGCTTTTAACCTCTTATTCATTACCATAATTCTATGTTTTATATTACAGAATGGTCAGCTTTTAGCTTAAATGCGGGGGCAGAGAAGAGTGGTAGAGTTTTAAAAGCTGTAAATCTCAGCAGCTAAGGAAGCAGGGAACAGGAAGAAAACTGTGAATGTGTCAAGCCTGGCTGTAAAACAAGATCAAGGACATGGGGAGCAATTTGTCCAGAGAAACCCCCCAGCCCAGAAGCTCGCCTGCTTCAGAGTTACTAACAAAGCGGCAGAACGTCAGAGCCACTTTATAAGGCACCAGCTGGGATTGAAGATGAATTTGGAGTCAAGGAAGTCAAAACAGGGCTGTGGATTCTCATACTTAAGGTTTCTGGACAAAATGAAATGTACAACAGTCTAGGATCATACTGAAATGCAAAATATGCTTTTAAGAAAATGAGCATTTTGAAACAGCACTGGATACGGAGGTAGAATTTCCACTGCCCGAGCAGAGACCAAGTCTGACCTCTGGTCAAAGCACTCACTGTACACCTGCTAGCAGTGGTTCTATATGAACAGCACTGGATTGTAAACTACAAGGTAGGCGGTTCAAGCCCACTGGTCACTCTGCACTAGAAAGATGAGGCTTTCTGCTCCCGCCAAGATGGAAAACCCAGAGAGGCCCTCCGTGAACTGACTCGTGAACAAAGTATCAAATGGACATGGTTGCCAGAAGTCACAATGACCCTGCAAGTCAGACACTGACCCTAGTACAGATGGACAGCCAGACCCCATGCATGAATTTGTCACCCGAGGTCACATGGTTTCATGCAAGCTCTGGATGGTTGAGAAACTGCTCCTTCCCTCACCTAAAGATGCCTTTCAGGGGAAGCCCTAAGAGAGGCTGCCTGATGCAATCTAATGTTTCCATCACAGTGAAACAAGACCTTAGGATTCATCCTGGCTCAATCTCACTAGAACCCGGGGCCATGGAGTGGAGTCCAGGTCACAGTGACCATACAGGGCACTTAGGGGTTTTGAGACTATAAGTTTTCACGGGAGCAGAACCCTCATCTTTATCTTATGGAGTAACTGATGGATTCGAACTGCTGACCTTGAGGTTAGCAGTCCAGTGCTTATCCTACAGCACCACACCAGGACTCCTCAGAATCTGCTAATGCAAAAGGATGTTTTCTCAACCATTAGAAAATGAAAGCATTGAGCTTTAAAACTCTGACAACAAAGACAAGGGAATGTGGGGGAATAGTGAAAAATGTAAAAAGTGACGACTGAGGAAGGAACCAGGAGCGGTACCTAGTGATCAGCATCAGGATGGACATCAGAGTGCCTTTAAGTCTGAGGAGCAGCACACACACCAGGGAGCTTCAGGAGATGATGCAATTAAAACATCAGTATTTTTTCTGTGAACTTTTTGCAATCCCCCTGTATCTTAGAGTAACTTTGTTCCACTGGATGTGAGCGTCATGTTAATGCTACGAAGCCATTTTGTGAAGGAGAACACTGTTATCTTTGGACCTCCTGAGGTGCAAAAGATAACAAATGGATAAAAATGGATACAAAAACAAACAACAACAACAACAACAACAAAAATGAAATAGGAAGGGCAAAACGACCACTAGTGCAGATATATTCTAAACAGGAAAGAGCTAAAATAATAATACTCCGACAACAAAACACAGTAAAAAGGACATCTTTAATGATTATCTGTTCTCTGTGAGGTAAGCTGGCACTTGTTTTGAAAAGCACTTCTTATGTAAAGGAGGCATGACAACCCAATGCCATGTGAAATAAGAGGTGTTATTGTGAAATAAGAGGCGTTATTCTTCGCACTAAAAGGAGACTTTGGCCATTTATCACAGGAAGCCAAATCCCCGCTGTTGGGAACACGAAGTTCTCTCTGCAATTCAGTAACTTATCACTGTTCCACTGGGAGGACAGTTTCTGGTCCATCTCCCATCAGTGCTGGGAGCACCCAGGTATGTCACAGAACGACAAGTGTCAGAAGTACCAAGAAGGTACCTGACTCCCACTCACTGCTCTTACATCCTGAGCTAGGTTATAAATTTACTTCTTGAGTTCTGCTTCCTCAGCCTATGAAATGAAGATTAGCCACTAACTAACGTAAGGAGGAGACAGTATGAGCTTCTGCCAGCATGCCCAAAGTCCCTGGGCCTTCTCATTTAATTGTGTTCTTCACCACTCGCCTTTAAGGTGGAGTCCTGGTGTGGTGCACAGGTTAATGCGCTTGACTGAAAAGTCAGTTTGAACTGCAAGGTTGGAGGTTCAAGCTCACCAGTCACCCCTCAGAAACCATATACAGGGTCGCTATGGGTTGGAACCTACTCGACGACACTTACAACAACAACCCTACAAGGTAGCTGTAATGTTTAGTATTGTTAGATATATGTGGATGAGTCCCTAGGTAGGGCAAACATTTACTGTACTCCACTGGGAACAGAAAGGTTAGAGGTTCAAATCTACCCAGAGAGGCACCTTGGTAGAAAGGTCTAATTGCTTCTAAAAAGTCAGTCATTGAAAACCCAAGGAGCACAGTTCTTCTCTGAGACCCCCAATGGATCTCAGATTTGGAGTCAACTCAACGGAATTTTTTGTTTGTTTGTTTGTTTTTTTGGTTATGTATGAGTGAGTCCCTCAATTAAAATAGGCAAATCCAAAGTTCAGAAAATAGATTTGCTCTCAAAGGATTTCATTACACTTTGCTACAAAAATTCACCAAACACACTGAAAACTTTTCCTCATTTGGGACACCTTGTCCAATATTCATTCTAAATTATATGATACCTTATAAAGCAACAACAACAACAACAAAAGTCTACAATTAAAGAGTTCCCATAAACATTTCCAGGGTCTGACATGGGACCGTTATCTTTCTAAAGAGAATTCCTGACGCATAACCATGATGTCTGATTTAATAAATACAGAGTGGCATTTACCAGTAAATGTTATTTAAGATAAATTTAACAAGACAAAACCCTCCTTTCCCATTAGGTTTGGTCTTCTCTTTCCCTACGGCTACCGAGGTGCTGGATGGCAGGTTCCCCAGACCCTCTGCACCATGGGAAGAGAAGCTCAGCACACGTCACCCACCAGGAGGAAAGCAGAGTGGACTCACGTGCCCAGGCGTTGCTCATGCTTTCTGTTGTCCTTTCCCCACACTTCAATGTCCAAAATGCCCATCCTGTCAGAGAAGTAGTGAAAGTCAAACTGTTCCCGCCACTGGGGATTTGCACTCTTACACAGTGTCTAGAAAACATGCAGTTATAATATTTATTTTCTTAAAACGTTAATCATCGCTACAGTAAGTACACATTCATTTCATTTCTAAAACAATTCAGGGGACTCAAGATACTAAACCACACCCCTCATAATTTAAACTTCACTTTTTGGAAAGAAAGGGATTAGTGACTGGGAATTTGCTAACAAAATTTACTACTCTTTACTGTTCCCTAGATTCAACATTTTAGCCACCAAACATAAAAGGAAAACTGCTGTCCCACAAGAAACTATTTTATCAGTAGACAGTTCACAATATTCTCTCTTACCAAAGATAATCCTAATTGATTAACCAAATGCAAGCAATCTTTTTATTGGCATATACGTACAATGCTGACTTCAGAATATATAAATTAATGGCATGAGGTCTTAATTAACTAACCAGATATGCATTCAACGTACAACATCATCTATTCTCAAACTTGCTTTTATTGAATCCAGTCACTAGACTAAGAAGAAGACTAGGAAATTCCACCGAAGCCACAACTAAAACTTAACAATAGGGGTTTGAAATCGCCACAGTGTTCTGTGTTTTCTGAGAGTTTTTATCAAACTGTTTATGTGTCTGGTTTGTTGACAGAATTTTTATTTTTATTTCATTTTGACAGAGATTCAACGTCAGATTAAAACCTGAGTAGCAGGCTCTGGTTAGTATTCTAACACCAACTACTGCTGCACAGGAAAACGCTGGCAACTCAGACCTCAGCACAGCCAACGTCATATAAAATAATGTAAGTGGTTTCTACATCAGATCACAGTATCTAGAATCCAGGGCAGGAGGGGAGGAGCCCTATTAGACCACAGAGGAAACACAGGGAATAGAGCAGGTATTGAACTGATTCTGCCTCACCTTAGTGAGGAATGCTTAGTGTACTTAGTGATGAGTGAATCCTCAGGCAGACCCAGGCTGGTTCTTAGTGTGTACCTGTGGTTACCTCAGCTCACACTGTGGTGTAACCCAAAACTGCCTGCTTCAAAGAATCATCTGGTATTTCTAGTGCAACTCATCCTTTAATTTATTCTTCATACTTCTTATAAACATTTTAGATTTTTTAAAATTATTTTTCATATTCTTTATAAACTTTTTTTCACCATGCATCTTCATTTTCTAATTCTTTGTGCTAAAGTGAATAAAGTCTAACCTTTGATGTTGAAAACTGTGCAGCTGAAAAGACCTCGTAGCTTCCCGAATCACATTCTAACTTGTCTGCATTTGTTATGTCCTCTAGTCTGCAAAGCCCCAACTAAAATCCCCTCTAGGCTATTTTCAGATCATCTACTGATTTTCTTCCTCTATGTGGCTTTTGGCAAGCAACCTAACTTTCAAGTACCCTAGCTCGCTCAATTCCTAAAACAGAAAATATTCCTGTCTGGCAGTTATGTAAAACAATTTAGTTACCATAGTTTGGAGACAAGGTTTTTAAAAATAAAAACCAAACCAAATTACTAAGATTAAAAATTAAGTGGAAATTGGATTGGCAGAATAAGATGACTAATTTTGAAAGAAGAGTTAAAAATGACTGAACATTTATTTAAGACAAATCATTTGTAATACTTGAGATTTTTTTTTAATCATAATAAAACCCAGAAGGACTAAATATCTTAACTTAAAATGTCTTACTAGGCAGTAGGAGAAACCAAAGGGTGTATAGCTTTGAAAACATTTTTGTTATCTCAAAGATTTTGATCCAAACTTAGAGATAACTTTATTGTGCTATTTCACTTCTGTAGGGTTTTGAAAACATTTAGTTATCCTTTTCCTACATTCTATGAAACAGAGTTTACGTACTTTTATTTTTTTAACAAAGTTTAAATGCATCATGCATTCAAATCTATTGCCTAATACACTTTCGTGAGCTTGGAGTCACTGTGTTTTAAAATAAATTATGCAAAGCAATCCAATCAAGATTCACATTAACTGTGGGTATGTATAAAGAGTTTATTTTCTGGACCACCTCTAAATGCAGTTAGGAAGGTTAAAGATAAATGTGCTCAATTCTCAAGAAATTTAGAATGGGAAACCATTTTTAAAAAATATTTTCTTCTTAAAGATGTTCTCTTTTCAAAATTGAAAGAACTTACCTTGCTTTTATACCTCTGGTCTCCCAGTTTAAACTGAACAAACATTTCTGTCATAGTTCCTCCAGAAACATTCTTTCCTTCCAACAAAGTTATACTTATAATTCCGTCCCACAGTTGGTTCTTTCTTAAGGACTCTGAGAGCCGAAGGTTGCGTATCAAAGAGGGCTATGAAGAAAAACAAAGATGACACATAGTCAGTTTGCAGATAATTCTTGAGTGTGACTTTGGGGATCATAGGAATTCCAACTTTCATTAGTCGATGTTAAATATCACTCTCTGCTTGGTGAAAAGTACTATTCTTCCTTGGTTTTGCAAACCTGCAATCATAGTTATGGGATTCCTGCAAAGTACGTGGACTTGTAAAAATATAGCCAAGGACGGTTATGGATGAGAGACACTTGCCCGAAGGCGCATGACGATATTCCTTTATCTTTTCTTTCCATTTCTCCACAAAGTTTGTGAAGTCCCTTCTTGCTTCGCAGTGGCCTGTCTTCTAACCAAGATGAGTAATTTGGTACAAATCCTTAAACTGGGCCACTGGCATTTTAATAGGAACAAGGGAAGAAAGTCATTTAGGGGAATACAGATGTAAGTACAAGGTATCGCTTTGCAAGAAAACAAAAGACCATCTTTTAGAAATGATGGTTTTTAATTCATCCGTCACATCGGAATCAGTCTCCACTTGCCTGCATTCTCTTTGCTGCTACTACAAAGTCCCATACCATGATGAGATTCACAGCTGTAGGTACTACCTACAATCATCAGCTTTGTAGATCCAGATGTGTGTGTGTGTGTGTGTATGAAGCACTTCTCACAGAGTCTGGAATCAGCTAGGAGAGTCAGTATCTGTTCATTTGTTGTGTTTTTTTTTCTAAACTATATTACTCACACCACTCATATAACTCATACGGAATATGGAAAAAGGCAAACATCAACTATTGCTAAATTATAAAGAGGATTATTTTTGTAGGAACTCTAGTGTGGCACTGGAGAATAAGCACTAGACTGCTAAATCAGCACGGGGCAACTAGCCTCAAGGTAGGCAGTTCAAACCTACCAACTGCTCCTGGGAAACCCTACACAGTATCGCTGAGTTGGAACCAATTCCAGGGTATTAATAACGACATCAATCTTTGTTGTTTTTTGTCCTCAAATAAATTCCAAACTCATTGTGACCCCAGGTGGACAGACTAGAACACTGATTTTTAACTTTCAGTCAGTAAATTTTCCAACAGGCAGAAGAATATCACAAATCTCTACTCAAGGTTCACCAGTTTCCAGACTTTTCTGCCCTTGATCCGTCTATCCCTCTATTTTTTTTTTTTTCTTGCTGAAATGTTTTAAAGCAAAACCCCATATTTGATTTTATACAGCCTGCAAGATTCCACTCAACAAAATTGATATTAATTTCCTTAATATTATCAAATGCCCAGTCCATATTTATATCCCCAGACTATCTCTCAACAGCGTCTCTTGATCATAGCCCATTGGTTTCACTTAGGCTGTCCACAGGATCTACATGCTGGATTTAGTTTATTTCCATCCTCTGGTCAATGGGCAAAGTGGCAGAAGACCAGCCTTCTTTCTTTAAAGGAGAAATAAGAGAACTGAAGAATGTAAATGGCATTGAATATCACAGTAAAGCAATGGATTTCTAAGACTATATATTCACTCCTGTCATCCGCTCAATATATTTCCAAGACCATTTAGACACCGATTTGCTTGGACACCAGTTAGTCACAATTTATCACAACAAATGGCATGTCAGTACCATATTAATTTTCTACCAGCTTACCTCATCTAGCACACGTCACTCTATCACTTTTGATAAATGTTAGTACAACAATGCCACACCAGGCGTTTTGATAATAATTTTATAACAACCTTAAACAAAATACATTTAAGGACACGCAAACTCCCACACTGTATGTATTTTTCTATTGAAACACACACATGAAAGGGACATACACAGTTATTGGAGGTGCACAAACAGGAGAGCAGGTGAGAAATTCATTAAATAAAAATGAACCTTAGAACCAGTCTCTCTTATGATGAACATGAACAATTTTTTTTCTTAACATCTCTAGCAGTAGATTTCTGGACAGATGTAAGAAGGTTTATGAAACAGTCAAATGTAGGCAATATTATTTTTATTGTAAAAATCACAAAACGTCAGGAAACACATGTATGTATTCTACATGTGTATATCTCTCTATATACAAACATATATAGAGATAGTATATGTATATAGTACATAGAAATATAGGTCTATTTAATATACTAAACAGCTTATTAGGCACTTAGCCTGAAAACTCCTATCTTTAGAAAGAAAATTAGATTTTGATTCATATCTCCTGCTACAATTCCTTTTTCTTGCCTTCTTTCTCTCTCTCTTTTTTATGCTCTTAAAGTTTGACTTGCAGACCAAAAAGCTAAAACATGACCTATCCCATGGCCATGCTTCAAAGTTCCGACAGATCTATTCCTCCCTAAACACTGAAACTATTTCAAAATCCTTTTTATAAAAAGGGGAGTAATGTCCACACGGGATCAAAGGGCATCCTACAGTCTGGCAACCGCCTAAGAAAAATGGCAGTGCTTCCATGAAATATGCCCTAAAATAATTTTGCGGCCTGGTATGTCCTAATTTCAAATTGGATGTTTATCTTGGAAAGGCTTCTATCTAACTTGTCCATAAAACAGCCCCACTTAGCTCTATGAGTTCTGTGAAAATGGAATCCAAAGCTGGTTATTAAGGGGGACTAGAGATGGGTTCCATATGGCAGAACAGCATGGGGGGGCAGGCAAAGGTCTCCATCAGGCGTGGCTTGGCTGGAACTCTTGATCTATCCACGGACACTAGTTGCATAACGCTATGACATCTGGATTATTGCTTGTAATGTCCCTGGGAAATATCCACTTTCCATCAAAGCCTTTATCTATCTCAGTCGGACTTTGAACATTTTAGTATTTAACACAGTCATGTTTGATGTGATGGGCTGGCTCTTTACAGTCCAGGAATTTATTTTTTCCCCCTCTCCCATAGACAGGGTAGGAGAAGCATTCATTACACAGGCTACAGATAAAAAAGAATACAAGACATTTATTCTACTGATTTCACTCTAAATTTATCTGTAAAAAGCAATAGATGGTTTATCCAAAGGAAATTTCCTTTTATCAGCATCATGCCCTGTTGTGTGTGTGTGTGTATCAAAGACATTTCTTCATTACTCTAACATTCTGCTACCCCCCTCCCCACCCGACACACACCTGGAGGCTTATAAAGAGACTTTAGAACAGCAAGTCTGTGGTTGGGGGCAGGGTCTGGGCCATGAGGTGTGAGCTCAGTTGTAGAGCTGGGTTCTCACAAGCTTTGTGTTCTCTTTCTCCTTCCAATAAATCAGATCATCTGCAGTGCCTCAGTTAGCTGAATAGCTCAAGTGTTCACGTCTCTGCGGCCCAGAGCCTATAAGTGAAGTTTGTCATCTTAAATGCAAGTTGGAATGTGAAAGGAGAGAAGGAAATGGCCCATCAAAGGGGAAGCCCACCCCACCTGAGCTGAAACAAACACCAGGAGAGCTTGCAAATCTTCTGGGTCCTGACCCTAATTTCTCAGCAGACATAATGGATAAAATATAGTCCCTGAGGGTTTTGTGATTTTTCTCCTTCCTCCCAGAGGATCAGAACCTTTGACAACTTCTATGTGGGTTCATTCATATTCTCTCTCATCTTCAAGCCCCCAGCCCATCAAATCCACACCCATTCTTCTCTGCAGAACAACCAACTTTGGACTGCAGCTCACACACATTAGTTATTAACATTGGAAAAAGGTGTGGTGTTTCACTTAGAAACAAATACACTTTCATAAAAATGAAGCAGCTTCAGAAACATAAATTTTCTTCTGGATTTGGATTATTCCATAGGCAAGGAAGGAGGGGGGAAAGGGGGGGAATACAAAATATCAGTAGTAGAGCTTTGTTGTTGGTGATGGTGCTGGTAGTGGTACTGCTACATGGATTATCTTTCTACTTAAAACAACCCCATGTGACAGAGTACAACTACCCCATCGGGTTTTTGATTAACTGGCAAAGTGGCAGCATCAATGGGCTTAAGCGTGGCAACAATTGTGAGGTTAGCCCAGGACCAGGCAATGTTTCATTCTTTTGTGCATACAGTTGCTATGAGTTGGCACAGACTCAATGGCACCTACCAACAACAACAAATCTTTATGGGAGCAGACTGACAGTGCCTTCTCCTGCTAAGTGACTGATTAGGTTCAAACCACCAACCTTTTGGTTAGCAGCCAAACACTTTACCACTGCACTACCAGGCATCTTACAGAGGAGCTCTAGGACACTTCAAAAAGGCCGAGAGCCTTCAGAAGTTTTGATCCAGAAACAGACTTTCAAAAAAGCAAATGAGCCATTAGTCCTGGGACTAATAAAATGGGCTACAGCTTCATGACAAAAAAAAGATCGCCACTCATCTGTGAGTTTGTCATATTGTGGTGACTTGCATGTTGTTGTGATGCTGGGAGCCGGGACACTGTATTGTAAACACCAGGAGGGTCAACTGTGGTGGACAGTTTTCAGCTAAATTTCCAGACTAAGACAGACTAGGAAGAATGAGAAGCTGAATACTTTTGAGATATCTACCCATGGAGAACCTTATGATTAGCATAGGAACACTGTCATATAGCAGCAGAATATGGAATACTGAAACACTATGAATAGCACCAGAATATTGTCAGATATTGTGCCAGAAGATGCCCTCAGGTTGGAAGTCACTCAAAATTTGACTGGGAAAGAGCTGTCTTCTGAAAATGAAGTTGGAAGTGATAATGCAAATGGAGTAAAGCTTTGGAGACCTTCATTTGCTTATGGGGCACAACTCAAAGGAAGAGAAATAGCTGCAAGTATCCAGTAATAATGAGAACATGGAATTACAAAGTATGAATCTAGGAAAATTAGAAGTGGTCAAAACTGAAACGGAACGCAAATGACTGATGTTGGCCATTTTGAATCTGATACTCACATGGTTTACTAATGACAAATTGTAGAAGAATGGCATCACATTCATCATAAAAAAAAAAAAAAAAAAAATTCAAGATCTGCCTACAAGGAAGACCAGTTAAAAACACTATTTTTTTAAACTTACACACCATT